GGGCTCATGACTGGCCTGTTGAATACTACTACAAATGCTTGAATGGTGTAGCAAGGCTAACCCATCTCAGAGAGGTTATGCAGGGGAGACACAATGTTTGAAAATTTGCAGTTGTGGGTGGTCAGATCATTGAATATACAGCAACAAACAAAGCAACTTCACACAGGGAGGTAATATTCATGTTCTTTACTATGAGCTGCTGAACTGATTTGCAGCCCTGTCTTGCTGCACATGTGTATCATGTCTGAAGAGAAGATGGTAGTAATTCATCCATTAAAGGTAGCATCTAAAGGAATGATCAAATTCATGTACAGTATCAAACAAGACCACCAGCTCCATTTTTTAATCACACTACAAACAGAACTAGAGGTCATTTAGAGATGATGCTGCAACAATGAACATACAGTGGCTCAAAAAAGTGTCTCAATGTTTGTGACTTTTTGTGTAATTGCTGTATTATGAGCTAGGGTGTGAGAATATGACTAAGCCATAGGGAGGTGTGGGAATGCTCTGCTTCTAAGCCTTATGTTTGATCCCTCTAGCATGAGAAAATTATGTCACCAAGTGAAGATATGGTTGATTTAATTTGGTGACTCATTAAGACACTTTTTTGACTTTCAGTTTGACCAACACAATCTCTATAATTCTGGTACTTGGTGTTTCCTCCTGTTGCTCTAATTACTTCTGCCACTCTTCTATGCATACTATCTATCAATTTGAGGCATTCCTCATCAACAATCTTGCCCCACTCTGCTGCAACTCTCTCCACAGCTGAAATAACCCCTATTGAGGATCTTGATTGACTGCAAGTGATATCTTGAGTAATTACCAGGGCTGTTTAATAGGGTTGAGGTCTGAGGACTAGACTTTCCATGATAGAACACTGATACCATAGTTTTCAAACCATTTGATGGTCAACTTGAAGTATGCTTAGGGTCATTATCTTGTTAGAAGGCAATGTTTTCTTCATTAATTCTTGATTCTTGCATGCTTCTGAGCAGATCCTTTTCCAAAATTGAAATATGCTGCTTTGCATTCACCCTCCCCCCCATCTCACAGAGAATTCATACTCCATTCCACCTCATACAACACCATACCATCAAGTTTCCTACTCCATACTTTAGTGTTTTCTTGACCTTTCTTTCTTCTAGTAGTTCTTCTGCATTTCATTATATATATTCCTAGCCATCTGGCCCCATCCTGTTGATTTTTGTCTCATCTGACCAGGTAGCCCTATTCCAGTCCTCAACAGTCCAATATTGAGGCTTTAAAGCAAAGGCCAATCTCCTTCCTATGTAGGCTGAAGACAAGAAAGGCTTTTCTGCCTGTTTACAGCTTTAAGATTGGCTGCCTTAAGAGTACCCCTGATTATTTGAGTGGAGAGAGTAGTGTAGATAATGTAATTAATGAATTTGGTGGCTTGAGTACTATTGGCAGCCTGCCTAGTTGGAATATTATAAACAAGAGATTTTTTGTTATATGATGTAAGCTTGAAAGGACAATTTAATTTGATATTTTTCTTATCTGGAATGACTTTTTATGATCCTAATGATAGCAACCCTGCTCAGACCAGCTTTAGTAGTAATCTGCCTGGTATACAGATTAGCAAAGCTGATGATAATCACAATAGGGGCTATTTCAACTATGGGAGAGAGTTGTAGCAGAGTGGGGCAAGATTGTTGATGAGGAATGCCTCAAATTGATAGATAGTATGCATAGAAGAGTGGCAGAAGTAATTAGAGCAACAGGAGGAAACACCAAGTACCAGAATTATAGAGATTGTGTTGGTCAAACTGAAAGTCAAAAAAGTGTCTTAATGAGTCACCAAATTAAATCAACCATATCTTCACTTGGTGACATAATTTTCTCATGCTAGAGGGATCAAACATAAGGCTTAGAAGCAGAGCATTCCCACACCTCCCTATGGCTTAGTCATATTCTCACACCCTAGCTCATAATACAGCAATTACACAAAAAGTCACAAACATTGAGACACTTTTTTGAGCCACTGTACTATTAAACAGGTAAATCACAAACATATTATAATCAGTTCATGGATGCACTGTCAACTCTCATTGCCAATGTCTCTTCTTCTTGCAACATCTTGAGCAAAACATGAAGTGTCTTCCTATCTGCATGATCAGAATCAAGTGTTCACAGGGCTTCATATACAGTTTTGACATGGATTTGGGAGATGTCAGTCAATAATATGTTGTGGAACTCATTAAACAAAATGTCATTGTAACTAAAAGCATTGATGGCCTGTTGCATGGCTGCCAAGGAGAAGAGTGTTTCTTGGATGAAGCTATCATTTCTGGTTGACCTGCCATCTTCCTTTTGTTCTGGGGCGAATTGTTAATTATTCTGGTATTCAACAATGGCATCAGGAGTATGGTCAGGAGGGGCATTTGATGGTGTTTTTAGCTGATCCCCCTGGTTCTTGCCAGTGTTCAAATGAACATGGTCATATAAGCTAGGAATTATCATCTTTGACAGGGGCACATATGTTTCAACTGCAGAACATTCACTGTCTGGAACAGTATTGTCAGGACTATGTCCCCTTGATGCTGCCTCTACCTGATCCACATCGACATCAGATTGCATAGCATTAGCAGGAGGTATTGATTGTGTGTCATATGAAGGGCTGTGTGAGCATTAGTGTGCATCATGTGTGTGGCTGGTAATGGTTAGCCTGGCAGCCTCATTAGCTACAATACATGATGTATATAAATGTAAGATGTGGGTACATACAGCACACAAAAACTGTACCTTGGAGACTATCTGATGATTTCAAATGGTGCTCATGTGCTCTCTGCAGCACTGTAGTCACTGTGTCAGGTTTGGCCTTTTTCATAACCCAATCCCACATCTGGATCAGAAAATTAACTGATGCTGTGAAGAAATATATTTGCAGTGGTGTGGGGGTTGCTTGTCAAGTTCCACAAGTAAGCTCACACTATGATTCTTGCATCCAACTTGAGAAACAGGAGGTCAGGCTCAACACTGTCTGTCAATCATGGTGATGTCATGTGATCCCACAGGAGTGATAATGACATGAATGCACATACCTGGACCTGCTGATCCAACTCCAAATCCAACTCATCAGCCACTTAATTACTGAAGTCATGCCATGTCATCTCACTATCAATTAGCTAGGCAATGCACAATGACTACCATTGTCATGTCTTGTCAGTGACAAGAATATCCATAATTTCCCTCAGAAAGTCTCCACATTCAACCTTCTCCTTGGCCTGTAATCAATAGTAAAAAAAGACCAGAGGTTTATCAAGAATGAATCCTGTGAGAAAACACAAGAAATGTTAGTTCAGGCAGGTAACTGAGGCAATCCACTGCTGATCATTGCACAGAAATTTGTCCTTTCATTCACTGATGAATTGAATTGGAGGCTCATGAGACTCGTGCCACTTGTCTGGCAATTCCACATTTTCATTGTATGCAATGTTAATCCCTTCCCCCCCTTTTTTGAGCTCCTTGAGGGCTGCCTCCATGGGTTTCTTGAACATCTCTGAGGGGTTGAGGCCCTCTAACATCCATGCATTGTCCACCTGACCAAGCATTGTTAGGATGTTATCCTCCTTTACACCCCAGCCTGTTTCTGAGGCCATCACAAGTTAGTGCAGATGCACATGAGCACATCAGGAACTCTTACTGAAAAGCTTCTTATTCTCCATATACAATGGATCTGCCTCTAAATACATGTCCGCATCATCAGGCAACTCATTGAACTCCACAAATAACCAATCCCAGTGATTGTGAATGACGAACTCATTGAGTGATTTAATTTGCTCATCATTCACACCATTTGTCATATACTCCTCCAACATGGTTCTCCTGGTAACCATAGCTTGAAGAAAACATGCACTGGCATTCTTGTGAAAGATGTTGATCAGACCCACCCTCTCTTGCTGGGTCTTTATATTCATCTTCTTTGTATTCTTCTGCTTCTTCTTTGACTCACTATCCCAACATTTCCATATGGCAAGCCAGTACTCCACACAGATATACTCAAAATGAATGATATCTGGTAGGGAGGAGCACATAGCTGAGAAGTTGCCTATTCTTCACAACAGGAACACACAAACACTCAAGCTGACTGGTATCCCCTGCACCATAGTTCATCAGTTCTGGAATGCTGTAGTGGATCCTGAGGTGCTTGTGCATCCCACTGGTCCATACATAGCTTGGCCTTGGTAACAGGGATGCAGAAGTCATGGATTGGTTAAGGAAGTGCCCTATTAATGATAGCATGTTTTGCTGCAGATTTTACTACAGACTTTGTTGCAGTCATCACATGATGCTGTATACAAACAGGTTTGATATGGTATTAAAGCACCTTGCCAAGGTATTTTGGCCAGGGGCATCCTGTTTGCTTAGTGCAAACCATTCAGCAAATGTTAGAATGAGTGAGGCAAAGCTGTTCTTGTAAGTCTGATCAATTGAACAGAAATGCAAGGATGACATGAAATGTATGCTTAGATGACTTCAAACTCTGCAGGGAATTGCCAATATGTGTGATTCAATTCTGCCCAAGAGGTACCTGCTTGGGGAAAGATGAGGCTACCTCCTACCATTAAGACCAATGGTCAGACAAGGCTTTGGTGCAGAAGGTATGTCTAGACTATCTCTCACATCAGATGCTTCCCAAGCAATATGACAGATAACAATTGAGTGAGATGTCTGTCCTGATTCAGAGCCAGGCATAGGTACCAACATACCACTGCTAGACACAGCTAGGTGGTGTGGCATGGTGTGTAACACTACCATGGCACATGCACTGTGCAGGGTCTTCAGGTGTCTTTCCACATCCTAAAGTATTGTTGAGTGCCTGATTAACCATCCTGAGAGTCTTGATCTTCCTTGATTTCTTGCCTGGGCTCACCTTCAACCCATGAATGAAGCTCTTCACTTGCACTTACAGGAATACTCAGAGGTAATCCAACTGCAGTCAAAAACTACATGGTGATGACTCATTTACTAGTTCTTCCTCCAGTAGCATGATGGGGCTGGCATGTTCTAATGTATTAATTCATTGTCATTGCACAGTGATAGTAACTATTCACTTGCCATTGTAGTAGTGAGTTTGGCAACTTTAGCCTCACCAGAACAAGTCATGGGCTGCCAAGCTTTTGCAGGACCAGCAACAACTGCTGATTGCATGCTTGCATTTTTCAGCTGGAAAAGAGGTAAGCATTTAATTGTTCTTAACTGCACTTGTGTTTTTCTCATGCTCAAGACTCTTGGCATGAGCCTTCCAATTGGCCTCCCCTCAAGGCAGATGTTTGTGTCCTGTTTGCAAGGAGCATAATTCTGAGGAGCACTGACATCATGATAAAATCAAGTTCAGAAAAGCCCTCATTTCCTGGAGAGGGAGTTTCATACAGCTGTTTGGGACACCTTTACTTTTTCTTTGACATATTTCTGGGGTATTCAGATTTGTGAATTTGGTTCTTGATCAAGCCTCAATCAGCTTGATTATCAGTAAGCAAAGGAGCAAGGCTATGTACGAGCATGTAAGTAAGTAAGACAGAACATAAGTAAATGAACTCAGAGATAAAGACTTGTACAAGGATCAATAAGCAAGACAGAACAAGAGGTAACTGAAAGCCAGAAAGCTGGAGATGTCTAAATAGGGATAGGCACAGGGTATTAGACAGAAGGTGGGAATAGGTCTGGAGATCAGGGGATCTGGAAGATGAGGTGGATACAGGACCAGGATATGACAAGGTAAATATAGTCCAGAATCCGAGATAAGGTAAAGTCCAGATGTCTTGCTGGATGGAGTGTGCATAGGGTGGACAGGATAGGGGGGTACAGATCAGGCTAGCAGTGGAGATCCAATGGTCTGTAGCTCAGGGGTAATTCCACAGTGGAGCTGATCCTGCTGAGGTGTAGGGCAGACAGTGGAGGAGAACTGGGAATGAGTTGGATGTGAGGTGGGGTCCAGATGTAGGCTCAGAAGGCATGGGAATATGATGGAATGTGGGTCCAGATTGTGAGATATGACAGACCAGTGTCAGTGCTGATCCAGCAATAAACTGATTCATAGATGGCATCACACAGCAAATGAAGTGTTCTGGACTTCTGTCATTTGTTTCCCAATTCAAGTTGTAAGATTTCTGACTTTTGATACTATCCTGGCTTGTTTTTTGGCAATAGTCATTGCTTCCTCTGGAGTAAGCTTGTATACCTGTAATATGAAATCATGTGGGTGAAATTGAAGGGTTCATTCTGAGAAGGACAACCACAATACCCATGGTTCATATAGGAACTTTGCAAGAATCAGCAACTCACCTTTCCAACTGTATCCTTGAGCTAATCCATGAGCATACAGTACATATAGGATATTACTGGCACAGGCATGCTGATCAGTCTTTCACATAGTACAAGTCCTACTCAACACTGTGAATCACACAGTATCATCAATAGTGATTTGTGGGAGGTGTTTTCTCTCTTCCATTTTGAAATGCCAGACAAGGGACAAATAGAAATCATGTTGCACACATCACTATTTGAAATGCTCAAGAATATGGGCTGCTCTCCTTTCCATCAATCTTGATTGTGGTTCCTATATCAGGCCATAAAAGCACCAGGCCTGCAAGAGCATGTGTACTGTGACCCTTAGCATCCACAATAATCAGCTGATTGAAAAGATGCTTGATGGCATGGTAATCAATTAATGTATTGAGGCTGAAAAAAATCAAAATCTCTATCAATGAATATCAGAGTCTACTGAGAGCTTGTCACAATAAACTATCACAGCAATGAAACTGTTTTGCATCTCCTTGTAGACTGTGTGAGATACCATCATGAATGTCATACTCTCACCTGCTCACTGGGATATAAAGCCACCTCACTACCATTCCTCATATCAGACCCCAGTACAACTCAGCATTTAGTCTGATTCATCAACACAACAGGCAGACTCAGACAGACCTTTGATGTAGTATCTCTGCCTCATAAACTGCCAGATTGACCCAGCACACTTCATAGCCCCATCACATCAAGACAAAGACCACACTAGAAACAAATCAAACTTTTCATCAAAACTATACCTCTCTCTATATCACCACCAAAAACTGTAACATCACCTTTTACTTGACTACACAGAACCACATGCCAAAGAAGTGGAATTCAGCCAAACAACATAGATACCAATTGACCAGAGCATCAGTTAATTATTACCTACATTGTTTGCATCCCTCCCAATTCCTGTACTAGCTGCCCTCGGCAGCCAAGTACATATTAAAACATATGTACACCACAGCAGTACCATACACTGACAGTGCACACATAGCCATCTCAACCTAAGGGCAGAGCATCTAAAATGGCTGGTGGGAATGGCAGACTGATGGGAGCACACTCCACATCAGGGCATTTGCTAGCCCAAGATGCACTTGAGACACTGGGGGTCTCTAGATTAGATTGTAGTGTACTACATAGAGTACTACTCTGAAAGGACAGAAATTGAATTTAAAGAAAAAAAATCATGGGAAGCATCATGGAATAATACATTTCCTGAGTTGCTGTCACAATTTTTGCAGCTGGCTTTATTTTTTTGGATATGCACCTGTACCGAGCATGCTTCAAGCTGCTCAAGAGCAAGATAAACTCACACTAGCCCTCCAATTTTTCTTAAAGGTATTGTGCTCAAGAGGGGAGAAGGCTGTTGAGTTCTTGAGAAAAGGGACTGTCTTAGGTTCAAAGACTGACATGTGTGCAATAATAAATGTGTGTGTACTGGGTGGTGGGATGAAAATGTGTTTCAGGGTTGAGACTCTTTTGCATTGACTACATCAAACACCACACTACTGGTATTCAATTTTACATTAACTGCCACATCAGGTCACCATTGAATTTCACTTGTATTTCTGATTGGTGGGTTAAAAAACATTTAATTGTCCTAGCTGCATTCATTCAGGGAAGTGAACTCAAGCTAAATGAGAGCCAGTACACAGTAAAAAATCCAATAGCCCACAACATTGGAGTGTGGAGCTTGCATCAGGATGAAATGTTCACACTTAGTGGGCACCTGTCATATGCCATTCTGGACTCTCAACTCTAAATCTGCTTCTCCAGATATCCAGATCTCAAATGATCTGATCTATCTTTATCTTCCTTCCAGAATCCAAACCCTATATCAGTGCCCAACCCCATTTAGACTGCCCCTGTCTCCAGACTCTGGTTAACCATGTTTCCCTTTTGATTATTGATCCATTACATACATTTCATTTCTGGTGTTCATTATTTGTGATCTGTCCTACTTACTAATAGACTTTGCATATGCTTCGTACATAGCCTTTATGTTTGCTGACTGATTCCTATATGATACCTACAGTTTATAAACCTCCTGTAACTCTTGGAAATACTCCAGTTTGAATATCATCTTAGTTCCTGCTCATTCCTGTGTCCTCTGGACTCGAGATAAGTCTCTTGTCATATTCTGAGTCTTAGGATTGCATCCTAGACTACATTTCCGACTCTACCTTAAGGTAGTCTATCCTCTGTTAGTTTCTAGCCCAGACTTTGTCCGGATTAGTCTTATCCGCTTGCCCAGGTAACATCTGGACGTCCATTGGATTTATCTCATGTTTCAGATCCAGACGTCCATTGTCCACCCTAGTCAAATCCCAGAAACTCTGGACAACTGCTCCAGCCCCCAGAAATTAAGGGCATATACTCAGGAAAGGGGCACGGCGTACGAGCTAAGGCCAAGCCCTTGTGATCCAACCCCCTTGAGCACGTGACCTTAACAGCACCATAACTAGGTCATTTTACCATAACCTCAATTATCCACCTTCTTAGTGGTGATATTTAGGAGCACTTTTGCATACAACATCATCTGGCTGATTTGTATGTGATTTGAGGTTTGTCAGGAGATAAGGGGTAGGGAGCAAGGTCTTTGCTGAGCCCCTTCAGTGACAAACTCTGTATTATATGGGTCACCCAACCTACATAATATCCCATATAAGATGGGCCAGCAAACTATGGGCTGATGTTATGTATATCCTCAATGTTGACAGGTGGGCTGGGAGGGATATTATTTCCAATGTTGATGGATGGGCCCATCTATGCCAATGTTATAAATATCCTTGACAATGGCAGATGGGCCAGGAGAAATATTATTACCAATAGAGATGGGTAGGCCCATCTGGGTAATATGTAGAGTAGGATAGACATATATTATAGACAGCTGGGCTGAAGAGAGATGTAAGGCAGATGTTATTATATAGACAGGTGGGCCAAGGGAGTGGTGAAATATTTATTATATATAGGGGTAGGCCAAGGTAGTTGTATATTGTATAGACGGGTGGGCCAATGGGGCAGTGAAATATTTATTATATATACAGGTGGGCCAATATAGGGGGATGTCATATAGACAGGTGGGCCTAGATATGTATCATTTAGATATATGGGCCAAGGTATTGGTATACTATATGAACATATGAGCAATGCTGTTGCACTAGTTTTGATCCAAGTCATCAATGACATTCAGACTCAGATCCTGTCCATGTCAATCAAAGTCAACACAGCCAAGCACCCTGTTGACTTAGAATCCAGTGATACCTTGGAAGACAGTCCATAGACATAAAGGCCAAGGTATTGGTATACTACAGTGGCTCAAAAAACTGTCTGCATGTTTTGACATTTTTCACTATCTATGATATTGTGTGAGAATGAACAAATGCCTCAAGGACATGCTTATACTACATTGTAGTATGACTTCAGGGCTTTCATTTGAGCCCTACACCGTGGGAATCGGTGGAGATATGGTGGAGATACAAGGCTCACAAAATGGTGACTCATGCGGACAGTTTTTTGACTCAAGTATTTTACAATAATAACCGGTATTCTAGTATTTTGTATGACCTCCCTTGGCTTTAATTACTGCCTCTATCCTTCTAGGCATACTCTCAATTAATTTCTGGCAATCCTCAGCTGTGATCTTCCCCATTCCACTGCTACTCTCTCCCAAAGCTCCTATACTCCTTTAGGGGGGTTTTCATAGGCTTGAAGCTTTTTCTTGAGTGTTCCCCAGAGATGTTCAATGACATTGACATCAGGAGACTGTGCTGGCCAGTCAAGAACATTGATGTTATGTTCTTCAAATCATTCCTTAGCTCTTCTGGATGTGTGCTTGGGATCATTATCCTGTTGGAAAATGATATCTTCTTCATCAATCCCTAATTCTGCCAAGCTAGGCAGCAAGTGGTCATTTAAAATGTCCACATACTGCTCAGCATTCATCTTCCCCTCAACCTCAGCAAACATTCCCACACCATTCCATCCCATACAGCCCCATACCATTAAAGAACCTCCTCCAAACTTGACAGTCCCATTAACCTCTCTGTCTGTTAGGCCATCTCCCTTTTTTTCCCATACATATACATTCCCATCTGACCCAATCCTATTGATTTTGGTCTCATCTGACTATATGACATGCTTCCAGTCCTCTACAGTCCAGTGTTGATGAGCTAAGGCAAAGGCTAATCTTCTCTGCCTATGTTTGATGGAGAGAAGAGGCTTTTTCTTCTTTGTTACTGCCTTGAGATGAGCTGCCTTGAGAACATTCCTCACAGTTTGTGAAGAGACAGGGGTAGTGATGGTGGAATTGATATAATGGGTGGCTTGGACAGCATTATCAGCCTTTCCTGTAGTGATATGTTGGATAATAGCCCTTTTGTCAGTAGAGGTAAGCTTGGATGGACGTCCTCCACAAGAGTTTTCCTTGTCTGGGTGGCTTTCTTTGATAAACTTGGCCACAGTGGACTTGCATACTCCAGTTCTAGAGGAAATTTGGCAAGCAGAGAGGCCAGCATAAGACAGAGAGAGGATATTATCTCTTTGAGCAGAGGAGATGGTTTTCATGGTGATTATGACTATGATACATGAGATATTCTGGTTTATATAGTTAGATATAGTCATAAAATAACATAATGACACCACTTCATAATTTATATAATAGTGGCATGATTTTTGTGGTGTCATAAATAATGATTTATATAGTTTTAATATATACTCAAAAAACTGTCCACATGAGTCATCATTTTATAAGCCTTATGTCTCCACCATATCTCCACAGATTCCCACGGTGTAGGGCTCAAATGAAAGCCCTGAAGCCATACTACAATGTGATATAAGCATGTCCTTGAGGCATTTGTGAGTTCTCACACAATATCATAGATAGTGAAAAATGTCAAAACATGTGGACAGTTTTTTGAGCCACTGTAGCCCCTGTACAACTCTTGTAGAGTCATCAGTCTGAATATCATCTTAGATCCTGTTCATCACCTTAGACTTGCCCAATCTTCTTCTAGACTTCAGTCCATCTGAGTTTGTCCTTTTCCATAAGGCCTAGGGATGGATTCCCTAGGCCAGAATTCTGGACCTTTGGATTTGTCCCCTATGTCTCTGTCCCAAGTCTAGGGATTGCTTCCCTAGGCTGGAGTCTTGCCTTTCTGGCACTTACCCTCTTTCTGGACTTAGGTCCATTTCCTGTCCCTCCGACTCTACCTTAGGGTAGTCTACCTCTGTTTGCTTCTACATTGGACAAAGTCCAATGTAGCCCCTATTCCTCCTGGACCTCCTGTCTTCTGTACCTCTGGGCATCCTGTCCTTTGGACATTCTGTCCTTCATACCTCCATGTCCTATCCTCTGTACCTCCAGACCTCCTGTCCTCCAGACCTCCTATCCTTCCATCCTGTTTTCCTGTAGAAGTATTACCTTGCAGTGGGAACTCCCCTGAGCACTTCCTGCATTCCTCCAGAACTCTCCTGCACTCCTCCAGACATTTCCCACGCTCCTCCAGAGGTCCTCCTGCACTCTCCACCAGAGTAGCCAGCCTCTGGAAGTCCTCTGGACTTTGTTAGACCATCATTGGACTTCCTCTGAAATGAAGGGCACATACTTGGGTAAGGGGCACAGCATACAAGCTGAGGCCAAGCCCCTCTGAGTCAGTCTCTCTCTCCTTTGAGCATGGTCCTTAACACCAACTTAATTCCTCTTTTGATCCACCATGCATCCAAAGTCTATAGTCTATAGCATATGTACTGAACAACAGTCTTTAGTATCTATGATTAGCTTAAGTTATAGACTGGATACATGACATGTCTAGTATTCTTCACATGTAGACTTAATTATAGATAGGCTTCAGTCATGATCATAGTGTTAATTATAGACTTGACAGATGTAGTAGTGTAGTGTCTATTCTTGTATAGACTTCAATCACAGACTTAATTATAGACAGGCTTTGATCATAGACTTGATAGATGACTGTATTGTCTAGTCTTCTAGAGGTGCATCAATGATGGACTTAATTATCAATGACATTAAAGCATAGAGTTTTTCATAGCAAACCTGTCAAAGACTTTAAGTTGAGGTACATTCCAAGTTACCTGTTCTAGATCTCACATGTCTAATTATGGTGTCTGATTTATAAACATCATATGGATCTTATGATGGAGGGAAAGCTTGATGGTGGGGCTTGCATGTGGACTACTGGTAAGTTTGAGAATCAGATTTTTGATTGCTAATGTTTATGCAATAATGTAGGTGTGTAAGTGCTTGCCAAAACAATGGAGTTGAGATCATCATGCCAATGACAAGGGTAACCATGCTACACTCTGTGCTGTGTCCTTTTTGGGTAGTGAGTGGTTGATTGGTGATGCTGCCAATAACCAGGTTACCATGAGGTATGTTTCGACTGTGTTGCTTTCTTGGACTAACCCATCTTCATAGTGTTTTCAATGGTAAGGTTCAGTCCAATATCAGGCACTCCACCTTGTTTTCAACAAGTGGGATGGACATCTCATCCAAGTGAAGTACAAAAGAGAAAAATCTTGTTGATTATTCTGCTTAAAATATGTTATGGTCTCATCCTGTGACAGTTGGGTGAATGAGAGCTCTCAGAGGATGGAAACTGTGTGGCAGAAGTGTGGAGCATAAGGTGAGGCTGTTCATCTGATTGCATGTATTAGTTGTAAACTTTGCACCCAGCAGGCCTATTAAGTGCATTACTTGTCATATTCAGTAGGTAGTAATTACATGCTTGCATGATAGTTTTACACATATGGACCTGGGCAAGTCAATGGATATTCACAGGGGGCATACTTACTCCCAAGACCTCCTCCCTAAGACTCATGCTGCAAGACATTGATGACAATGATAGATCATCCCTCAGCAGCTTGACTAAGCTATTGAATGATTCTTGCAACAGTGAAATGCTGCAACCTGTGACTGGCAGCAAGTTGGTTTCACAAGTGGCTGCCATGCTCAAAGACAGCCCTAAGTGTGCCCTTTGGAAGTAAACAAGGACTCTGCACCCTAAGACCACCCTTCTGAGACCAATTATTTGCAAGTGAAAGTGGTTGGAAAGCCAGCTGGTGAAACACTTTATCATTAATGTGAATCACAACTTGAAGTATTGGGTGTGTAAGGTGCTTATGTACAGGCTTGCAGGTATCTCCCTCAAAGAACTCTAGGCTTGCATCAAAAATGGTCTCAAGGATAGAGCACAGGCACATAAGTTTTCCAGTATAAGCTGGGCAACACTCTCATTGCATACTTTGGAAGATGAGCAGAAGCTAATGTTAAGGTGGGTGCTTATTTACTTTGGCAGGAGGATCAACTGACAGGTCACCAGACCTGTGGATCATTGAAGGGATACACACACTACATTCCAGGACCTCACATATCATTGGTAATGGGGCAATCTTCAGAGTGTCTTGACAATACAGAGAGTGCAGGTAGCAGAGTGTATTTTGATGAAATCAAGGTAAAGCTTTTTGTGATTGCCCTAGGTATGATCTGTCTAACTATATATATAGACACAGATGCTTAATAAAGTGCTGGTATCTATGCAGCTCCTCATCCATCATATTGGCATGTAGCACACTATTTGTGATGGTCACTACAACCAAGGGGACATCCTAATGAAGTACACTAAGGCCAGTGTTCCTCCAGGTGAAATCCTTACTGAGACCAACAATCAAGGAAGTTTTGTATGAGAGGGAGCAAAGTACATTTATGAAGATGATGGGTTTGCATCAGAGAGCACTGGTGTAATACACCTTATTCATAGCTGGCCAGAGCAAGGCCATGATCCTGAAATGGTTAGCAGTTTCTTCATGTTGCAACTTGCTTCTCTTATGTTTAACACTAGCATGGGATTCACCTGTCTAAAGACATGGTGTCTGGACCTCATGGTACCTCACATATTTATGCATACTTCCAGGTGACTGAGGTCTTGGCCTTGCACTTTGCTGCAATGTTTTGCATGGCCTTTCCAGAATTTTATGAGGAATACTGGAAGGCATTTGAGGCAGGCAAATAGACAGTAGTCAATCCCAGGCCATTTCCAGGTAGGGTGATTGTATGGAAATTATCAGTACTCCCATACCAGGACAGCTTAACTTAAATGGATATAGCATGTATCCATAAAAATACAAAAGATGTTCCTATGTGTTTATTTCTAGGTGAATAGACTTTGAAATTATATCCCCGTCATCTATTCAGCAATAGAAACAATGTATCAGGAGCTCAGGACCATAGGGTAATCCTTTATTATATAGTGTACCTCCCCCTCTCCTGGTGGTTCACTCCCTGGGTATTTTTTCCCTGCAGGACCAGACCTCAAGGACAGTAGGGAGTCTATTCCTGAGCATATTTGGAGTAGATATATCATATAGCCAGCCCAGGACACACATGATCCTTCTCCAGGAACAAAGCATAGACAATTGCACTTTTGACATTTTTCATGATTTTCAGTATCTTGCCCTTGCATTCATGATCCAATCTTTTGATATATAATGAGCATAGCTTATATTCTTGCTTCTTATGACAAAGATCAGCTCACAATAGGCTGGAGTTGTGAGCTAGTGTGTATGCTTGCCATTTCTACTGATAAGGGGCCATACCTTCAAGACATCAAATCTTAATAATCAGAAACCTGGAGTATATTTAAAATATATCAAGTATCATAGACATAAATTTACAGACAAATCCACCAAGAATTGAGTGCTGAGGAAGTGGAATAGACAAGGAATTGAGTGTGGGAAACTTCAAAGACTGAAAGCATCGAAAATGGTCAGTGAAGCAGTGGTAGGACTTTAATGCTGGGTCAACTCATATTTTCACTACATCCCTTCCACTCACTCCCTACCCTCAGGGCAGTAGGCAGAATGGGTTCCTTAGGTAGTTTACAATCTATCCTACATATTTTTAATGAAATCTTTGGCCTGAATCATATCTAAATGTGACTTTGTGTAAAAAGATGCCTATTGTCACTTTTCACACACATGTTATTTTTGCCTGTCATTACATCAATCCTTTATGGATCTTTCTAAGCTTTTAGGGCTATTATAATGGACATATATGGGAGTTATTCCAGGTCTCTGATCACATCACAGGCTTGTTATGTTGGATATCTTGACATAATGTGCAAGTCTATTGATGTTCATTCTTTTATCTTTACACTCACTTACTGCAATCACAAACATTTACCATAGTCTTCCATCTCTCATAGATACATATTATAATGAGTCTATTTGTTCTCAGACTGAGTTTTTCATCTCTTGCAGCCTTCTGTCTGTTGCTACTCACATCATGTGATGTAAGGTGCTTCAGGGGGTCAAATAAAGTTGGGAATTAGATTGACTACCAAGTCCTGACACTCAGTAAGCAGTACATCAATATCAATAACTGAGTCTTGACTACTGAGTACTGATGTAACAAACATACAACAAGTCAGAGTGTAATAAAACAGTTCTACTCTATATGGTTCTGCATCTGCCTAGCTGCTTCACCTGCAAAAGCAAGAATGTTTGACCCATGAGGGATCTGTGACTAGATGAGTGTTAATAGTTATGATATCAATAAACATGAAGCTATGCAAAGGTAACCCAAAGGTAGAAATGACAAGTCTGGAGGTAAAAAGTGTTGGCCAGAGTGCAGGAACCTTCAGCCAGAGTGGGAAGTGGAAAGGGTATGGTAAAATGAGGTTTGGAAACTAAGGAAAAGCAAAGGGAATGCAAAGGGACTAGGTATAGATGAGGTATTGACAAAGGAGAGACTATCGAGGAAGTGATAACACAAGGGGAGACAAAGTCTCCAAAATATGGGTCCAGAAAATGAGTGAAAAGATATATTCCAAAGTACACCAAGGTACCAGGAGTATCTAGTGACCAAGACTCTAGAGAGGTAAGGAGAGGTGGTAAATGGTAAGGTATCCTATGCATCTGCATGGTATTTAACTAAGTATGTAGAAATCTGGAATGCTAGTCGAAATTCCAGGTCTGAAAGTATGTATGTAATATGCCTGCAAGTGCTGCAGCTCATGGGAATACATGTAAAATCAACTGCAAACTGTTTGGCTGGAGTACCTGACTACTGATTCCTAGGTGCTGAGTACTGATTCCAAAGTCTCAAGTACTGACACTCAGTAGGACCACCAATACACTCACATAGACCACAGGGCAGTCAATTGAGAGAAGACTCACCAGAGGTAGAGGTCCATTTGCATGATCTTGGTCACCACCATTATGGGTGAGCAGTTTGCAGGTGCCAGTGTACTTCAGGTGCTCTATGATGACATCTGGTAGTTGTGCAGATGCAAATGCTGTAGTCAGTCAGTGCTGGTTAGCATGAATGTCAGAATTCAACCACCAAAAATCATGTTTGTCAAGATTTACCTTGCATATGTTGTAGACACTTTTCTCAGTTTTCTGTGAGTGCACTGAAAATATGCAATGATCAACTCAACTCATGATGGCTTGGGTTTCCAACACATACCTAGCACTTCTGCTTGAATGTTGAGATTGTCCTAGCAGTGAGTATTCACTGTTGTGTGATGGGTGGCAACAGCATATAGTTGATTTTTTTGGGTTCTGTGATGAACAATGCATTGTGAGACTCAACATTACACAGCCATGGGAATTTAGGAATTTATATGTTTCACATAAGGGTACTAGCAATACTGTACAAGTAGCAAAGTACTAAGGACTAGGTATGTAGCTAAAACTAATGTAGTGAGGTGGTGGTATGTGAGAAAGGGGGAAAAGGAAATGTGTGTGTTATGGATGAGGTTCATATAGGGATAACCAATTGTAATTAAAACTCCACCAGAAAATAGTGGTAAGCACAGGATAATGGGTGATGGACAGTTCCAGCAGACTTTGAATATATGTGGCTGTCCCTATATTAGGTGATTCCACACCTTTTGACTTTTCCTTTTAACTTCAATTTAAGGTCAGGTGCATTGCCTGTGTTCATTATGAAATTGCACATGATTACTAACAGTTTAATATTACTTTGAACCCATAATTTCACTATGGCTTTGTCTTGTGAGATCTTGAGTTGGAATCAGGGTGACGAGTAAGTGTTTCTGCCACTTGTACACCTGCTCACTCAATGGGCTATGTTTGGTCATACACCTGTCATCCATCCTGTGTGTTCCTCTTTTGTTTTGTGCTTGTCCAAGCTGACCTAAATACCCCTCCATTCTGTCTGATGCAGCCTTGTATACAGATTTTTTATCCTCCTCAGTCTCCTATGTGTGTATCAGCATTAAGAGCTTCCTGGCCTATGGGTTTGCCCTAGCTGTTAAGAACCATGTTACTCAAGGGAGAGAGAGACTGACTCAGAGGGGCTTGGCCTCAGCTCATACACTATGTCCCTTACCCAAGTATGTGCCCTTCATTTCAGGGGAAGTCCAATGATGGTCTGACAAAGTCCAGAGGCTGGCTACTCTGGTGGAGAATGTGGGAGGACTTCCAGAGGAATGCAGGAAACATCCGGAGAAGTGTGGGAGAGTTCTGGAGGAATGCAGGAAGTGCTCAGGAGAGTTCCCACTGCAAGGTAATACTTCTATAGGAAAACAGGATGGAAGGATAAGAGGTCCAGAGTATGGAGGACAGGAGGACTGAAGGTCCAGAGGTCTGGAGGACAGGATGTCCAAGGGTTAGGAGGATGGGACATCTGAAGGTATGGAGGGCAGAATGTCTGAAAGATAGGACACCCAGAGGTGCATCGGACAGGATGTCCAGAAGGAATAGGGGCTACATTGGACTTTGTCCAATGTAGAAGCAAACAGAGGTAGATTACCCTTAGGTAGAGTCAGAGAGACAGGAAGTGGACCAAAGTCTGGAGAGAGGGTAAGTGCTGGAAAGGCAAGACTCCAGCCTAGGGAAGCAATCCCTAGACTTGGGACAGAGACATAGGGGACAAATCCAAAGGTCCAGAGTTCCGGCCTAGGGAATCCATCCCTAGGCCTTATGGAAAAGGACAAACTCAGATGGACTGAAGTCCAGAAGAAGATTGGGCAGATAGAACAGGATCTAAGATTATATTCAAACTAAGGAAACCACAGGAGTATCTACAGGGGTTATATACTGGAGACTATCTAAGGGGATCAGTAAGCAAAGGAGCAAGGCTATGTACAAGCATGTGGAAACACATTAGTAAGTAAGATGGAACATAACTAAATGAACTCAGAGATGAAGACTTGTACAAGAATCAATAAGCAAGACGGAAGAAGAGGTAACTGAAAGCCAGAAAGGCAGAGATGCCTAAATGGGGATAGGCGCAGGATATCAGACAGAGGGTGGGAATAGGTCTGGAGTTAATATCTGGAGGTCTGGAGATCTGGGGATCCAGAAGATGAGGTGGATACAGGACCAGAATATGAGGAGGTGGATATAGTCTGGAATCTGAGATGAGGTGAAGTCTGGATGTCTTGCTGGATGGAGTGTGCATAGGGTGGATGGGACAGGGGGGTATGGATCAGGCTAGCAGTGGAGATCTGATGGTCCAGAGCTTAGGGGTAAATCTGGAGCAGAGTTGATCCTGCTGAGGTATGGAGCACACAGCAGAAGGGGATCTGGGAATGAGTTGGATATGAAGTGAGGTCTGGACATAGGCTCAGAAGGTGTGGGAATATGATGGAATGTGGGTCCGGATTGTGGGATGACACTAGCCTCCCACTCCCACTTGCATGTTTGCAATGCTTGACCTTGGCTGAGGTATATATCAGAGAGTGTATGTTATCCTCCCAACCAGGACTCTCTCATATGCAATTCAGAAACTGCTTGCAGGTGTGTCACTTGTTCTCTGATTCACAGAGTGGGATAGACTAATAACTTGATCAGCCAATTCACACCGACTCTTCATTACTGACTCTGATTTTGGGGCCAGCTCATCTGCATGCTCACACATGGGTGGTGGACTGTGCGAGAATTGTTAGCATTGTCAAGAGTGTGTATTTCATTCATTGAATATCTTGCTCATCTATGATGCCTAATCTCCACAATGAAGTTCTTTCTGTTGTCATGCTTATTGCCAATGTCACATTCTGTTGATCTGTCATATCCCATAGTATTCCCATGCCTTCCAGGCCTATTTCCAGACCCCACCTCCAACTCATTCCCAGATCCCCTTCTGCTGTGTGCTCCATATCTAAGCAGGATTAGCTCTGCTATAGAATTACCCCTGAGCTCTGGACCTCTGGATCCTCACTACTAGCCTGATCTGTACACCCCTATCCTGTCCATCATATGCACATTCTGTCCAGCAAGACATCTAGACTTTACCTCCTCTTGGATTCTGGACTACATCCACCACCTCACATATCTCAGTCCTGTTTCTGCCTTGTTTTCTGGATCCCCAGATTTCTGGACCTATTCCCACCCTCCATCCAAGATCCTCAGTTATCTCTGCTTCCTGTCTTGCTGATTGATCCTTGTACTAGTTTCATCTCTGAGTTCATTTACTTATGTTGCGTCTTACTTACCAATGTGTTTCCACATGCTTGTACATAACCTTACTCCATTGCTTACTGATCCTCTCAGATATCCCCTAGTATCTAACCCCTGTACAACTCTTGTAGAGTCCTCAGTCTGAATATCATCTTAGTTCCTGTTCTACTAGCCAAATTTTCTCTTGGACTTTGGTCCACCTGAGTCTATCCTATCCATCAGGCCTAGGGATTGATTCCCTGGGCTGGAGCTTTGCCTTTCTGGCACTTACTCTCTTTCTGGACTTAGGTCCAATCCCTGTCTCTCTAACTCTACCTTAGGGTAGTCTACCTCTGTTTGTTTCTATATTGGACTCCGTCTGATGTAGCCCCTATTCCTTCTAGACCTCTGGATGTCCTGTCCTTTGGATGTTCTGCCCTCCTAACCCTCAGACATCTTGTCCTCCAGACCTCTGGACCTCCTATCCTTCCATCCTGTTTCCTGTAGAGATATTACCTTGGGGTCTCTCCACTTCCTATGCAGTGGGAACTCCTCTGAGTATTTCCTGTACTTCTCCGGAACTCTCCTGCACTCTTCTGGAAGTCCTTTGGACTTCATTAGACCATCATCAGACTTCATCTGAAATGAAGGGCACATATTTAAGTAAGGGGCACAGTGTATGAGCTGAGGCCAAGCCCCTCTGAGTCAGTCTCTTTCTCCCTTGAGCATGGTTCTTAACATGATCCAACAGAACACATATGGCACTGACATGCCTCATCTACATCCTCACACTCTGGGTCACTCACACAAGGATGGGGTCTGTAGCAATCCAGCAGAGATTTCATGCATTCAAAATCCAGTAGCATGACCAGCATGTGTCTTGGCCAAAGCCTGTAAATCATCCAAACTGCAGATGTCAGTGGTCCATGCCTTGCAACAAGTTTGGGCCTGGTGTCTTTGTCTACCATTTTTCCACCTGTCACAAGTTAGAAACTCCCCCATCATTATTTTGTTCACTTCACTTGTTTGATTGATCAATATGTCTATGTAAGTCTACTCACATCTCAGCCTGATATCTTCATATCTAATAATGCCTTTTGCATCTAGTTCTTCATTTCACTCCCTTCAAATGCAAATTGATAGGTTGGTCTTCAATCTTGAGTTCAATGACAGACTTCATCTTATTGTTTTCTTAGCGAGTCTATCCCTATGTTAAATGACCACTAGCCACTCCCTGGCGACCCAAATTTCATTATGTTTACCCCAGAGGACATAGCTAGCTTGGTCATGGCTTGCCAAAGCCAAAGTGGCGAATTATCTCCCGAACTGCATGCCTAGTTGGATAAGTATGTGCTTCTAGCACATTCAAAACATTTACTCAAACTCATGGCCTCTGAACAATTGTTTAACAACATCAAGGAATTATGGGCCTTTGACAAAAATGCGCAGACAGGGGGCCTAGCCAATGCTGACATTAATGGGTAAGTCAATTTGATTAGCCTACCTGGGCCGAGCAGCTCACATCCCACTACATATCAAACTCTGATGAATTAGCAGTACCACAACAACTTGAAGAGTATGTGACACTCCAACAGAGTCCCCATCATTACTTATTTGTTTCTCCAAGACTTCATCCAATTCACAATATGTTCAAGATCCTCAGACATTGTTTCTGATATTGGGGAATTTTACAGTGCTAGTGGGTGATCTTCCACTTTGGTCACCCCATTTTAGGTACCTCTTAGGTTGTATTATGTCTATAGCAGTAAAGGCCTAAGAGGTGCTTTTGGGAGGTCTAGCCCATGTTCAAGGGTATTTCCCTGAATATATAGGGACCAAAATGTGATGTATTGGGAATGGTCCAAGGATCATTATAAAAATCAGGCAGAAAATACCACAGAGTAGCTTTGGACCACAGATACATTGGGATTCCCTGTAGTGAAGGGGTGTCAGGGGTCCTACCATGGCCAAATTTTCACAATAAATTTTCGAAATTGATAGCAGGATTAGGTGCAGGTAGTGCTCATGGTACCCATGGTTTTACTGTGCTAATGCATAAGCTGAGATGAGAAGATGATGAAATCACTATCCCTGGTGAATAGGCAGGATCTCTGGTCTCATAAGATGCTGGAATCACTGTATCCCTTGAGAATATGCATACCCTGAGGGGGGTCAGCTGCCTTGCAAGACACTGGAATTACTGTATCCCTTGAGAATATGCATACCCTGAGGTGGGTCAGCTGCCTCGCAAGACACTGGAATCACTGTATCCCTTGAGTATAGCTTTGCAAGACGCTGGGATTACTGTATCCCTTGAGAACATGCATACCCCAAGGGGGGTCATCTGTCTCGCAAGACGCTGGAATCACTGTATCCCTTGAGTAATATGAGTATGGGTATACTGTGGGTACAGATGCGGGTAGACCTCAGTCCCTGGGAAAGACCAGATTACAAGGGGAAAGACCATTGGTACTTTTCACTGTAATTGGAAAGAACCAGATCGCAAGGGGAAAGACCATTGGTACTTTTCACCATCATCGGGAAGGACCAGATCATGAGGGGAAAGACCATTGATACTTTTCACCGTCATCAGAAAGGACCACATAGCAATGGGAAAGACCAGATCATGAGGGGAAAGACCATATCAGGGGGAGGGGGGGCGGGGGAAAGACCAGATCATGATGGGAAAGATCATTAGTATGTTTTAATCTAACTGGGAAAGACCAGATCGGAGGGAAGAACCATAGTTACTTTTTAATTTGCACTTATCAAGAAAGACCAAGGTGTTGTGCACATATTAAATTTATTATGTAATATCTATATGCAATACTATCTTGTAGGACACAAAGTCCAGCCCTTCCCTCTAGTTGTCATGGTGCTCAGAATTAGACTCACTATCTCAAATGGTTTCCGGTTCTGAGGGTAAGAATCCCACTACAATTCAATTGAAAGATGTAAATAAGGGCAGACTGAGTCACAGACTTGACAGAAAGCCCTCACCCTTTTCCCCCCACACCTCACCATGATATTGTTGCAATGTTGGACCCCTCCTTCATTTTGCCAGTTAAAGTCTTATTTACTGGAAAGGTGAAGGAGGAAACAGCACAACAGCTCAATCAATACAAAAAGACAATGTTGCAGCTCAATGTTCTCTAAGGTGCCAACATCTGAAACAAGGCAGTCAATCACTAGAATTAAATGGAGGATAGAGCATAATGGGGTGGGCATATATAATGCACATAAGTGATATCATAGGTGGAGACATGTGTCATATGAGGGTGGATATACACGAGAGGAGGATACATAGGATTGAGAGACATGGGATGCATAGGATGACGAGGAAGTAGAATAAACAAAATGAAGATCACTGAATTATAAGCCAAGGACTCAAGTTGTAGACACTATGGAGAAAGCTGAGGCTGTAAAAGTTAGTTATACTCATCTTCATCCACCTCATCAATGTCAATGATTGGATGGCAATAGATTGGGCATGTGGATGATGATGGTGCAGAGAGGAACCAGAATGGTGAGAGACAGGTGCATGTGAGGAATGCACTGGCAGCTGAGAATGGTGAGAGACAGGTGCGTGTGAGGAATGTGCTGGCAACTGAGAATAGGAGGTGCTGGCAATTGGTGGAGGTGGGTGTGACTGAGGACAACCAGATGGGATACAGTGACTAAGGAAAATATATGACAGTTAGTTGAGATACATTAACATTAGAAGAACAACATACTTATTACCTTGCAACCTGGCATGGTACCTTTCCACTATCATCTTGTTCTCCAAGTCACCAGCCTCAGTGTGCAGTTTCATAGTTGTTCCTGTGTCCGCTTGTGAGTATCTGAATCATAGGGCAAAGTATGACTGTTGTCACATAGGCCACCATGTTGACATTGACCTTCATAATGAGGACACTCATACTGAGAATGCTCATACCGAGAAGTAGGGGGATGCACAGAATCATGGGCATATGAGGAAACTAGAATGGTAGACCCAGGACTTGAAGACAAGACAATTGTTGACAGTGTTAGTGGAGGAGACGAGGGTGAAAGACCCTGATGAGGTTCCCAGTGAGTAGGCTGAGGCAAGCATGAAGCTTCCTGGAAAGATTGCCTAGCATTATGATTGGAGCATGGAGCTCTGTGGTTGGAGCGTGGAGCTACCTGGGTTGGGCACAAGCCACCTGGGTTGGGCATGAAGCCCTCCCTTGGGTTGGGCACAAAGCTACTGGAGTCAAGTGCACAGCTTCTTGGTCAGACAAAGGGAGCTCTTCAGTTACCTGCTTGGTACTAGCTTGATCTGGGAGGGGGAAGTCCTTGAAAAACTTGACCAAGTCCTGAAGCTCACGGAGGACCTCGCCATTTGTGTCGATGACCAAGGGGATCGAATACATTGAGGGAGACTAAGACTCTAAATGTTCAACATTGACTGTAGTATCATTAGTGCGTGCATGAAAGAGACAACTAAAAACATACACTCAGACCACTCTCTAATGGACAACACAACATCCAGCTCCTCCACTATTGTACCCTTCATCCTTCTGTTGTCATTCAACTTCTTGGATTTACCCTTACACTTCTTTGTCTTTGCAGTTTCTGCCTCACTATTGTCGTCCTCATCATCTTGACCTAAGTCAACCTCATACATTGCCCCAAGATGCATCCTCAGGTAAGGAACTACCAGTGCATGCAACTGGCTCACTGACAACGCTTTGAGATCAAAATTGGGGCCAGGGGGCAGTACACCAGCGGGCCAGTTAAGGATGAACAGCTGCTCAACATAAAGAGTATTGAGCATGTCCAACCACCTGTTGTTCAAGGTTTTGAGTGGATGGCCAGCTTCAGCTACCAATGAGACACACCATCAGTAATTAGTGACACAATAAAATAAAATAAAACATACCAAACTTCTCACTGATGATCATTGGTGCGACTTTTCTGTTCCTGTCCCTAGCGGACTTGCCATTGCACAAAAGCATGCCATTTGGGACAGCAGTAGAGCAAGGGAGAAAACTAAAAGATATCCCTTCTGCTTGCGCAGCCTCTAAGTCTTTGTACCTATAATGAAGTGAGCAATATCCGGCAGTATTGTCAGAAAATGCACTTGAGTATGGTTGTGAGCTCATCCAAGATACAACTGATGTCAAGTTGTTGTGCATTGATGATGTCCTTCATGATATCAGACCCAGAGAAAAACCCTGATGCTTGGTGGCCAGCATCCTCATGACCAGGAAATATTGCAACACCAGAAATATGAATACCATGGGTGCGGTACCAGTAACCAGCCTGTGTAATACTTAGTCTCTCCATCAATGTCCTATTAATGCGAGACTCACCGCTTTGAAAAATCATCACAAACATGCAGCATCAGAGAACTAGCAGATCGTGACATCAAGTCCTCAGTTGCACCAGCAAGTGAACCATCCCAATACTCCTGAATCTTCTGCCACAATGCTGCATGTTTGGGGTCTTTGTACAGATGGGCCTTGTAGTGTGCTGCTTGCTCCTCCTTCCAAGCTTTGATATCCTCTGCGAAGAATGTAAGCATACCATGCACACCTGCAAAGGAATATACATACGTTCTTGAGAGGGGGGGCTAAAAGTCTTGAACCACGTTTGGTGCTGATTCTAAGGAGACTCATTGCACATTGCCTTTGTGGCCAGCCCTGCCTCAATGAGGATCACCCTCGCACTTTTGCCATATTCTATCCCTAATGCTTTCACTGCTTCGACAGTGGTTCGCCCAAGTTCCTGTGCCTTGGAGACTGCTTCCAATGGCAGCCTTCCCTTCTTGGCAGGGCCTTCATCACTCTTATCCTCGTTGACCTCCTGTTCCTCATTATAGTCCTGCTCATTGTTGTCACCCTCATCAAATGCCTTGGCTTTGCCTTTTCCTTTTCCTTTGCAGGTCAATCGGAGTGGAGATGGAGGGGGATTGTCACTGTCAATGGCAAAAGGATGTGCAGCTTTTTGCACTTTTCTTCATCTGCAGCCCAGTCACTGTCAGAGGGTGAACTCTCTGCGCCATCGCTGTGGTCATGTGTGTAGGACTTCACAGCAGCTGACCTATGCGGGCGAGGAGCAACTGCAATGTTTGATTTGCTCTGGGCAGTAGACACTAAAATAACTGTAAGTGAATTAGAAGATAAGAATGGCTCAGAATGACATACCTGAGGTATCATTACAAACGTAAGTGGCTTCCTTTGGCTTGTCCGATCAATGAGCAGTGGTGACTAAAGGGATAGTTAGGTGTGACCTAGTAATCTAATGCTGGGAGCGACAGACACGAAGTGTCCTTGTCACATGCTGTGACATCTCCTGAGTGGTGTCGATTCAGAGCTTCATCAACTGTGGTAGGTGTTGTCTTGGTGGCATCTGACCTACACAAGGGGAGAGCAACTGCAACATTTGATTCACTTTGGGCAGTAGACACCAAAAACTGTAAGTGGGATAGACAATAAGAATGGCTCAAAATTACATACCTGATGTATCCTTGCAAACGTCAGTGGCATCCTTTGGCTTGTCCAATTGGCTTTGAGCAGTGGAGACTAAAACTACAGTTAGTCGACCTCAAAATGCAACATTTGGAGTGACAGACCCAGAGTGTTCTTGTCGCCTACTGTGACAACTACTGAATTGCAGACAGGGGCAGGAGCTAGCAAACATTGAGTTAAGGTAGATGTTCACCAAATGAAAGGGGCTTGCCTGATTCCTCATCACCATCCATAGCTACCCATCAGTATCAGCTTTGGAATTGTTGTAGGTGGATGTCTTTTGGATGGATTGGCACCTCGAAAAATTCAAGAGAAAAATCCCCTCCTCAGCTGATGAGGTCATGGGACCTGACCATGTGGAGGACCATGGAAGGGGACAGGGCTTTGGTTGGGGTTGATGCAGGGATGTTCGGGGGGCTAGAACATCAATAACATCAAAAATCATTCAAAAATTTTGAAAAAGATCAACTTGCCTCCACATCATCAGCATTGGACTCCATAGGATGTTTTGCCCTGCAGGTCTTGATATAGGGCACAGTTAGTTAGTGAAGACAAAATATCAAGAGCTATTACCATTCTGGTTTTCGTCACATTGCATGCCAGGGTTCCATTGGGCAGACGTGAGGGTCTGGCTTGATGGCCTGAATGGGTTGTAGGCATTTGAAATAATATTCCAATGATCACGAAGATACGTAGAATTTAAGTTGAGAACTCAAAGTTTTCTCAACAATGTTTTGCGACACGAAGTCAGGCAAGGCAATAATTGGTAGGGAAATGCTAAGAATGCTTGCAATGATATTATGGGGATGAGATGCTCAGAATTTGGAGGATTGCCTTTATAACATGAATGGGTGCTACTGTGATCACCCTGAAAGCCAAACTCCACTAGCACCAAAAATGAAAGAATTAATTCGGTTTCTTATAATTCAGAGGTGTTAACCATGTACAGTGCTGTATGCATAAAAAGCTAGCTTTGAAAATATTATACTCTATTGAAGAAGATCGGAGGTGATGACTACATAACACCTGCATTACAACATCAAAAAAAGAGCCTGACATCGCAATCAGTGATTGATCACAGGACAGTAAAGTTCCAGACTCACCCAAATGGAAAGGGTATCTCCTCCCTGGCAGTGACACTCATACCAAACAGCCAAACAAGCTAGCATGCAACATGACAGTGGTACCTGCCAAGCTAGAACCCAAGATGAATGAGTGGGAACAGTGAGATTGCTTGCTGGTCATGAAATACAGTTTCATTCACCTATATGACCTGGACAGTGGCACATGTGTGTACATGAACCATAAGCATGAAGCAATGAATGGTATCATTGGCATCAACAAGGAGGACCAAGTTCGTTCAGTCAGTATTGACGAGCAGACGATCATTCCATACATCCTATAGAGGAAAAAGTATTGCAATTCAACTTGCATTCCTTAAAAGGAGGCATTCCCTTCCCCGCATCCACTACATTGGGCTTGGTTCACTCCCACCCAAGAAGACTTCAAGCCAATCCCAGGCAACTTGTTCCCTGTAGGCACACTCGCAACTGGATAAGATCGAAGGCTTGGATTCTCTTCACAAACTGACAGAGAAGTGGGTGCAGGATTGGAGAGCTAATTGGCAAGGCAAGAATGATGCTGTTGTCAGTTGTGTCTTGTCCCTTCAACATGGCATCTCACAGTTGAAGATGCATCCCCTTACATTCCGCGACCTTCTCATGTTTGTGACTGATGCCCAACAGCTGTTTCTTGAGATTTATTCATTCATGGACTGGATCCTCCTTGCTCAGCCTCATATCACTGCCAGTGACAGGACTGCCATCGTCAACTTGGAGTGGATGGGCGCCTTCATGCACAACAGCGACATGTGCAACAAGCTGTACATTGCTGGTATCCCTGTTTGGTATGTCCACACCATGGCATACATACCTTCGAATATGACAGTAAAACAGCCCATTTTACTCACCTGTCCTGATCAAATCATCCTTGCAATGTACGCAGAGGGCAACAAAATTCAACTGTACAAAATCATCTATCACAGCCCAGGCAGCCACAATTGTCAGCTTCATGTTCGCCACCTCTATGGGGGCACGACATTCAGAGACCCCAAGCCAGGTCCTTTGTTGGGTCCTTCGTCGAGCAGCTTATCTACACCCAGTTCTTCTACTGCTGGGCCATCCTCTCAACCATCCATTGCAGGCAAGGCCCTTCCAAAACATCATAACAAGAAGCACAGGCACCAGCCCTGTAAGTACTACTTGCCCCTCTTTCTTATGTATCACAACTAACTACTAAATATTAGACGTCAAAGATGCTCAGCCCGCGCACCACAACCAGTCAGGTGAATCCATTAGGGACAAATGGAAAGATCCTGAGAGCCCCTACTTCCCGCCATCAATGCTTCATTGGGATAATGCCCTCAAAAGATGCATCAAGGATTCATCTTGTGTCCGCACTCCCTATGTCATTGACTGAGGATACAGGTTCCCCGAACCAGGTCTCCTATTCAGTCCCAAGCTGCCGGAGCACCTTCAGGGATACATAACCACTTGGCTCGCCTGTCATCCAATATGGATCAGATGGGTTGATCACAACCCTCCTCACAATTACCCATCCCCTCAACTATGGCATGACTTCCTTAGTAGCGGGATTTCTGCCCAATCACAAGCCGCAGCACCCAAAGCAAAAGCTCCTGAAAAAAAAGTTCTTACTGTGGCAGAGAAGTGCAAGGGAATGATGAAGGATTTGTTTGGAGATGATATGGTGGACTCTCATGGAGATTTATTTGTGCCAGAAGGAATGGTAGAATTTCATGGTGAACAGGTCCCTGTCACCAGTCTCACCAACCCTCCCCAGCTCCTTGCCCAAAAGATTACCTGGGAGTTGTTTGAGCTTGGATTCCACTATGAATTGAGGGATCTTGATTGTCACTTGGCCAAGGGATGCTGGGCAGAAGATCCAGTTGGTCGCAAACAGTTGCTGCATGCCATCTTCCCTGGTGAGGCTGGCCTTGTCATGTGGTTGGAGCTGTTTCCGAATGGACAATTATGGGATGTGGAATCATACCTTAATTGGTGTTCTTCCATACCTTGAAAGTTTCTGACAGCTGCTGTGCTCTTGGGATGATGTGCCCCCCCTTCTTACATCACTGCTCATGCAAGAGACTTTTACAGACACAAAATTGTGGGAAGTCACTCACGCTGTGACTGCATTTTATGTTCAGACATTTTTCGATCACTTCAGTAGGCCTCCCATTGTTCCTCACTCGCTCCCTCTGTAATCATGATTTCATAATGCTACATCGCATATTACATTTTCTTCCGTGTTTGTGTACAAATATTATGTTCCCTCAGCTGTAATGGATGCTTCCATGGTTTCCTCTAATCCCATTTTAGTGACATGGTGCGTGTATTTGTTTCTCCAGCCTTCTGCTTGACTTTTCTGTGCAGGCATGGGACATAATGTGTTCATATTCTCTGTGGCCACCAACTTAAGTGGTTTGTCCTGACTTATTCTTATTTTTATTATATTTACCTTCTCCATCCTCCACTTCCTTCCATTATCTTACTCTGCCGCATGTTGTGCCTCCCTGAGTGAGATGACAAGAACATCCATGACATGTGGTCGATGCCTGATCAGGCTAACCTGAAGGGACGATGCAAACCTTTTCCCTCCATATTTTCCCATTCTGATACTGAATTATTATCCCATTGATCATTTGCTTCCACTTGTTATACTTCATTTTTTTTCCCTCCCTTTTCATTCAATGTGTGGGTCAGCCTGCATGCTTGACCTTTATTGATCTCTCCTGTCTGTCGCTGATAATCAAGCCCCACAGCTACTCCAACTGATTTCACATCATTGGTGACTTCCATTCACAAGTTCATCCAAGTGACTTCGCATCATTGGTGTCTCACTTACTCCAATTGACTTTGTGTCATTGGTGTGTGGTGCCCGTTATATTGACTCTTACAGTGCTGTGCTATGGCAGTCCATTGTCCTAAGCCTGGACGTCACAAAGTATCCACTCTGGAAGTGGCATCTGCCACACAGGAAGAACTGCCCCCAAATACTATAGTCTGTCAACCTTGGATGAACAAGGCATGGCAACATCCCCGCCAGACTCGCAAGTTAGACCTCTATCTTCCTGGCCCACCCCCTGTCTTGATTATGCCCAGACATCAGTGTTTCACTCAGCATTTATCTCTTCCATCTGCACCTAGGATGGTTACCCCCCAAGATCATGATGGACCCACAGATCCTTTTAGTAACTCCCTATTTCTTCAATGATCCCAGTGTCCATCATCTCACCAGCTCGCAGAAAAAGACCAATCAGTGGTGCAGATGGTCAGAAGAAGTTATTCTATTGCTTATAGTGCCCTATCTAGCATACATGCAGGAGACTTCAATGCTACACTATGCCAACATGGTACAACAGCCACATGGAGATACTGTAGCTTGTCATGCTGGATGTGGGACATGCAGTATCAAGGTTGCATGTGTGTTCTTTGACAGTATGTTGTCTACCTTCTTTTCTCCCCCCAATGGCTAATCTAATGTACATTACAGGCCTGTCAGAAATTAATATCATTGCATGCCCCTGTTTTCCTGCCCCTCTCCAGCTCCTTCGTCATGGGCTGTTCCCATGTGCTCCTGTTGCTCCCTCACTTGCAGTGGACTTACATGTTCTAGAGTTTGTCCACCTTCTTTTCATTCGTCAGTCCCCCAACCATACTGCGTGGTGCAATGCAGTGGAGATGTTTCTAGATGGAATGGGATACAAGTTGACATTGATGGTTAGCATTTGATCCTCCATGTACATAGCATGTTTAACCTTGTATTAGCATAGCCTGTGCCATCACTTCTCCAATGCATTTCACTGGTACCAGGTGTTGACCATTTTAGCTCGTGATCACATCTCCAATCTTATTGCCGACACCTGGAAGGACAAGATCTGTTTGCAACCAATGGCAGTCAAACAACCTACTGAATACCTTTGTTCATGCTGCCCACTTTGCTGAGGGGCAAATGATTGGCAAAAGGCAAAAGATTCTCATTTCATGTAAGTTCATTTATGTAGCTATGGTGCTGCATACTCAGTTGATCACACTCAGGCCAGATATTATCATTTGCATAGATGCATGCTTTACTCAAAAGTGCTCCACCAACCCTCATGGTGCCAATGGTCACAACCCTCCCAACCTGACACCATCCTTTTTTCTACCAAAGGATGATGTGCAAGCAATGGATGAGTTCATGCAGTGCTGTCAAGGAGAAAGACATCGGGAGAGGGTCTCAAGGATGGAGCCAGAAGAGGATTGCTATGAAATGGGGATGAGTGTGCCAGTATCAGTCCTGGATGGATGTGGAGAATCTTTCATGGCTGCAGATGAGAAATGGGAGAAGGCAAGCACTCATTTTTTTTACTGATACAGGCCTTATGGCACTGCTTTGTAGACATGATTGTGTTCTCTGGATCATGAACCTCACATCGGTGGGGGAGAAACAACATTACTTGCTTGCTCTATTGGACCATCTGTTCAAGCATCTACCCCCTCAAATGACCATTGGGCTTCTGTACGACATCAGATGCCAACTTGAACAGAGCTGTCACAAATGGAGTCTTCTGGATGAATCTATTTTATCGCAAATCACCTTTGCAGTTGCTGTATTCCACACTTATGGTCACCAGTGGCCTTGTCAAATTATCTACCATCCCAGGAAACACAAAGGTTTGGGACTGTCTAATAGGTGAGGGGTGTGAACGACTATGGAGTTCTCTAAAGCAACTCATCCCCCCCTACGTGTTTCTGGAGTAAGTACCACCCATGTATCATTCTACAAGTCTAACTCTACTCTAGTTCAATCAGCATCTTTTTGTGCTTGATACTCAAATTTGCCACCTTGATATGAGATCACTGCAAGGATTTGGCCATTGGCTTCATTGGCATTGGATTCACTGCCAGATGAAGAAGAATGCAGCTCTGGACAATTTACAAGACTTGGACCTCAACAAGGATATGCTTTGTGTGGAGTGGAAGGCTCAGATTGTGCACCAGACAAGACCCGCTGTGGGAAACACAATAAGAAGAGAACTGGAAAGTAGACTTCTAATGTTGGGCTAAATGTGCTATGCCTAGCTGCTATTCAACCCTAAAGGATTTCTGGACTAAGCTCAGTGCTCAGAGAGGATAGGAAATCATGCTAATAACTCTCAGTCTCAGACTGGTACTGGTAGATGGTGAAAACTATGATGATTACATAAGCACCAAAAGTGCAAACATAACACTAAGTAATATCTGCCTATACAAGCCCACAGAATATGAAATCCCTACACCGCTCCACATAAGAGGATACATACCTGTTGTTGTTGTCTTACTGAAGTGTCTAGGTCAATCCAGGAACAAGGCAGCCAAGGTCATTACCACTCTTCTTGCATTGGAGAAGACTTTAGACGCACATGACACTTCTGTCCATGAACTGGAGGCATGGTTACATGGTGGTCATGTTGATGACATGGTCAAGCTCAATCTGCAGCTGATTGATGCTCGTTTGCGATGTACCAAAGTTACTAATACTATCCGACATCATAGATCTGCACTTGGAGTGGAAGATAAGGCTGAACTCGAGAAGATGAAGAAGGACGTTTATCTCACAGCCAGATTGAATGCTCGCACTGTGAAAACTCGCATTCAGGACCGTCTTCGTCAACGGAAGTTCAAATTGGAGAGACTTGAGAGGTCATACAGAGCATCTATCAATGGTGCATTCATTTATACTTCACCACTTGGATGACAAATCTCAGGTCTTTACAGCTGAAAAACTTCACGCAAATACGCAACACTCCATCAAACGTCACAAACCTGGCATTCTCAAGTTAGTCTCAACTTACAATGGCTTGTGTTCTCACATATGCTTGCTTATATGACAACAGAGAGCGCCACCTTTTGCTATCCCCCCTCACTCCATTCTGCATGATGGCATCTTCCAACTCGATGTTGACGACAATATCTGGCAAGACATTGGACTTGACAATGCCACTGTCAACCCTCCAGTGTGGTTATCAGATGAGGCCATCAGAAACGGTATCCAGTTGCAACTTGAAGTAGATCATTGCTTCAAGGAGGAGGCTCAACTGATGCGCAAGTGGTCTGTTATGCAGGAGTGGATGTTGATGGAGTGGGAGGGTATACAGGATGCCTTGTCAAATGCAGGTGCGTGATTGTGACCCTATGTCATGTCTGTTCTCAATTCGTATTGTAGTGGAGGATGTTGTGTTGACTTTCCATCTCACATCATGCACAGATGAGCTTGCTAACATCTGTGTTGTTTGGAGAAGAAAAGTTCAGTGTATTCCATGTGCCTGGTCAGTTGTGGATAGCTGGGGACCTTCAGATGAAGTCTTGCTTCAGGCCACACATGAACAGGTGCAGCCATCTTTTCAGGATGAGGATGACCAGAGTGTAGGACCTGTGGAAGAGGATAACGAGGGTGATTCAGATTGTGGTGAGATTGGAGATGATGAACTGATGGATGCAATTGAAGACATTGCATTGGTGGATGAGTATAGGTATGATATAGACCCTGATGATGACCTAGATGACATTGAAGATGATTTTATGCCATCATCCCCTACAAGATGTCCTACAAGATAGTATTGCATATAGATATTACATAATAAATTTAATATGTGCACAACACCTTGGTCTTTCTTGATAAGTGCAAATTAAAAAGTAACTATGGTTCTTCCCTCCGATCTGGTCTTTCCCAGTTAGATTAAAACATACTAATGATCTTTCCCATCATGATCTGGTCTTTCCCACGCCCCCCCTCCCCCTGATATGGTCTTTCCCCTCATGATCTGGTCCTTCCCGATGATGGTGAAAAGTACCAATGGTCTTTCCCCTCATAATCTGGTCTTTCCCAGGGGACTGAGGTCTACCCGCATCTGTACCCACAGTATACCCATACTCATATTACTCAAGGGATACAGTGATTCCAGCGTCTTGCGAGACAGATGACCCCCCTTGGGATATGCATGTTCTCAAGGGATACAGTAATCCCAGCGTCTTGCAAAGCTATACTCAAGGGATACAGTGATTCCAGTGTCTTGCGAGGCAGCTGACCCACCTCAGGGTATGCATATTCTCAAGGGATACAGTAATTCCAGTGTCTTGCAAGGCAGCTGACCCCCCTCAGGATATGCATATTCTCAAGGGATACAGTGATTCCAGCATCTTATGAGACCAGAGATCCTGCCTATTCACCAGGGATAGTGATTTCATCATCTTCTCATCTCAGCTTATGCATTAGCACAGTAAAACCATGGGTACCATGAGCACTACCTGCACCTAATCCTGCTATCAATTTCGAAAATTTATTGTGAAAATTTGGCCATGGTAGGACCCCTGACACCCCTTCACTACAGGGAATCCCAATGTATCTGTGGTCCAAAGCTACTCTGTGGTATTTTCTGCCTGATTTTTATAATGATCCTTGGACCATTCCCAATACATCACATTTTGGTCCCTATATATTCAGGGAAATACCCTTGAACATGGGCTAGACCTCCCAAAAGCACCTCTTAGGCCTTTACTGCTATAGACATAATACAACCTAAGAGGTACCTAAAATGGGGTGACCAAAGTGGATCTTCCCCAGTTGTCCTCAAATGATCCCATGCTCTACTACCCTCTGCAGTCCAATGTCCCTCAAGTGTCCCCCAAAGAGTGGTGGGAGTGATGAATAGAAGCATCATGTGCAGTGTTCTTTTTGTATATTATTCAATGGTTTCTGGCAATAACTTAAACCCTGACTGTTTGTGCATTTCATGTGGAATCTAGACTGTCACAGCATGCCTTGCCATGACATGGCAAGTTTGGAATGACAGCATTAGATATCAATGCTGCCACTGTGACTGAATCTCTGGTTCTTAGTCTAGGCACCTTTAGGCTTTAGGGTTAGATAGACCCATGTATTATGTGAGTGATGATAATGAACATGTTTTGGACTGACTTGGTGTCCCACAGGTGCATGATACATGCTGCTTAAGAGTACACTGCCTGACTGATCAACATTCCATCAAACTATAACTGCTGCTTGCAGGCTTGCTTAGTCATAACAGTAAAGTTCCATGGTACTGAATACACACCTAAGTGGTATGAGGATCATGTGAGTGTTCCTGCATTTATTGGTAGCATGAGGAGCCAATATTTTGTGTCCAGGGTCCAAAAGACATAATAGGTCATTAGGAAGTTGACCAGCATGAGCTGGATTGGACATTGTACTGGAATTAGTACAATGATATTGTTTGTCAATCATTCTTGTCAGTATACCTGCAGCTTATTAATTGTCACAGGGTTGTACTTGGCCTGGATCTGGTCAGCAAGTGAGTTTCTTGACAGTATGCAGCATGTTGAACATCACCTCAAGAACATCCCATGGGGAGGTGATTGGAAGAAGTTCTGTGCTACCACTCCTATAAGCTTCCATGGAAAACAGAGAGGAATGGGAATGGGACAATAAAACAAGATGGTGAATGCCCATGGAGGTGAGAAACCACCCAACATAGTCCAAGGGTTGCATAAATACCAAGAGTGACAGAAGGAAGAGGAAGGTGGCCACCATCATCAATGATGAATGCCCATAGAGGCAAAATACCAGCCCCCCATGTTCCAGAAGAAGACACAGATATGCTACAAAGCATGGACAATGGACAATCAGATGGCCACCATCATTGATGGCAAACACCCATAGAGGCGAGAAACCACCCAGCATAGTCCAAGGTTTGCATGTGGATGACAAGAGTTGAATAAAGAAGAGGAAGGTGGCTACCATCATCAACAGCAAATGTCCATAGAGGCAAGAAACCACCTGTAAAGGTAATGGTAAGGAAACAAGAAAGAAATTTGCCAAAGGGCAGTATATAAACTTCATGTCAGGTGACATTCTCATGCCACAGCAATAACAATTGGAGTTTGATTAATAGAGGGCTATTTGACATTGGCAAAAGGTCCATGACCACACCAGCATGTCTGTTGATGGCCTCAACCAATTTTGCAATGATGATGGCATTGACATTTATGATCTTGAAGTGCATATCCAAAAAAATGAGAATCTGCCAGAGGTGTCAGAGTTCAGGGATGAGAAGTGAGTAGCAGAACTAACAAAATCCTGTATGTCACAGGATAAGGATAAAGTGAATGAACAGGGGTAAAAGGCAGGACCCTTCACATTGGATGCTGGAAAATATCAACATAATGTTGTGAGTATCACAACAACTGCTGAAGCCTGACACTTATGCTGATAAAAATTGTAGATGTCAAAATGCAAATTGAAAATCAAGCACATCAATCAATAGAATTAGCTAAGTGGCTTGCAAAGGAAGAAAACATGAAACATGACTTACCCAGTACAATCACCATGCATGAGGAGATCCAAAGGATCCTGAGGAAATTGAGGCAAGCTATAAGTGGGTCATGAATGGGTATCAGCAGGAAGAGCAATAAGGTATATCAATGTGTTTCAGAATGCCATTTAACCAGTCGAATGCAAAAGCCACCCAGAATATGCAGGACCAAATGTCTTGTTCATATTGGCTGTACCCATCGAGGCTTGATGATTGATGGTAAGTGGGATGTGAAGCTCCAGAGATTGCAAGCTGTCATGGGCCAGAAGGCTCTGACCAGTGTGAGCCTGAGCCACAGAGATTGTGTGAGATATGCAAATTCGGACATCAGTTCACAGGAATGGCCAGATGCAGTGAGCAGGGAGTTATGCAAGCAATCCAGGGCAACAGTGTGTGGAGAAGGAGGAGGCTCTGTGTCTGGTATTCTATCATTAGCATACCACCCAGATCACAAGAAAACAACTGGAGTGATTGTCAGAAGACAGCACCACTTGTTAGCCTTCTTGAGTGATTGGTATTCCCCCAGCTGATTTTGGACAATGATAAGCACTAAGTCAGTTATCAAGGTGTACTGTTACTTACTGAAATCATTCTAGCACTGTATTGTTTGCATTTGTGCTATGATACAGACATGTACATGGGGTAAAAGCACATACATGTGAGTGCAGAGGCATGCAGACAGGTTTGTGTGACAGGCAAGTTAATAGGAGCTAGCCCAAGTACATGAGGGCCAGGAATTGTTCAAACAAGTCCATGCAAGTGCAAGTCAGTGCAGGTGAATCACATGTATTATTAACACAGGTGTGACAAAATGAAAACATGTAATACAATCATGGAAATCAGGACATACTTGTATTACAGTATCACCCATAATTGCATCAGCTATGTATAAGCAATGCCAGTTAGTATGTAGAGATAGCATTTGTGCTTACCTAAGATGTGTTTGATACAATGTTCAAATGTTGCATTCCTGCATCCCTCTGCTTTCAAATCCAAACATTATCTGTAGTCAGTAACGCACTGACTTTGCCCTCATACCTCTATCAATTATGTGCTTGTCTAGATCGAAGTGTGGTGCTGATGTTGATCTTACACCTACAAAAGCAAGCAAATGAATGCACCCTTGTTTAAAGTCAGCTGAAGGGACAACAATGGTATGTTTGGATTATTCTTAAATATATATCTGATACTAACTACACTATAGATACAAAGGACAACCAATGCAACTGCTGTCCTTCATCAATACAAGACTGCACCATGAGGGAGCATGCCTATGTGCTTCTCAAGATGTTGGAAAGGGTTGAATATGAGGTTGAAGATTTAGAGGCCAATCAGTTCCACAAAAGAGGGGAGCTTGAGGAGGCACACATGAGACATCTTGAAGAGGTTGATGAGTTGCAAAGAAAGCATGATGAGGAGCTTGAGAGGCAGCAGGAGTGCATTGACACATTGGAAGAAGAGGTGCAATTTCAGTGGGCAATGCTCAACATCCTCAACAACAACGTCAAATGGCTAGAGGTAGACAATGATCATAATAAGAAGGACATTAATGGATTTATTAGCAGAGGCATTCAAGATGGTATGAACTGCAGGGAGACACTTGCATTGACATTGTTCAACTGTTTGATGGCACTAACTTGTAATCCTTGCTGTACACATTACCCTTTCTCCTATGAACAACTGATTGTTTGACATATTTCTTTATCTCATAGTGAAAACATCATTTGCTACCTGTTGCACCCATTCACCTATGAACAACTTGTGTAAAACTTCTTTTATATCTTATTGTAACCCTTCTTCTACAAATGACTGATCTCACAAACCATTAATGCTCTCATAGATGAATTCATACAAAAGCATTCATTTCTCTTCTAACATCAATGTTTTGTAAATAGAGTACCTATGTGAGTGTGTCATAACAGTGGTGAGTCTTGTAGGTGTATTGTTCTGCATCATGAATGGGTATCAGTCAGGTATTGATGTGGACATAGAGTGTCAGTGATTTTGAGTAATTTACTAGTGAAGCACATCCGTGTTACCGATTGTTTTTCTATCCCAGTATGATATTTGAATCAGTACATAGAGCATCAAGTATGTAGTAGTACAGGACTTGTTCAAAATGAGAAGACTGCCTGGGCATTTAATACTAGCACTTGTGGTCACCCAGGTCAATCAATCAATCATTAGCCACAAAGTTGTAATGCATAACAACATACCTTGTCAGCAGCAACAACAGCTGCTTGGTCTGCATTACACCCCAGCTCCATGACTCTATCATGTGAGGTTGGAAGTTCAGCTGTGTGAGTTGTAGGAGGATGGACGGTGGTGGTATCAATGAATCATTTGGGGACATTTGTCCAGATGAGAGAGTGGTCAATTCAGGGCCCACTAAATGCACATACCTTGTTCCATGTGCATCCCTGGAGACTTCCCACAGCCAGAGTCCACTTGGAGGAAACATGCTATCCAGTTGCAAGAGATGCTTGAACAAGTGGAATCCCATGTCACATATCTCAAGAGCAATTGGGTCCATAGTCACATGGAGCTCAAGGAGATTATAAAAAGGCATAAAGCAGAGTTAGATGAGATGAGAAAGAAATATGAGGAGGACCTTGAGAGCTATTGTGACCATATTGATGATTTGGAAGAGGAGGTATGATATAACACTGTGATACTTGACATCCAGATGGATGATGTGGAGCAGCTTGATGTGCTAACAAATGCTCAAAGGAAGGAGATAGAGGACTTCATTAGCCTCTGCATTCAAGATGAGATAGAGAGGTACCAAGCTAATGCTATCATCAGAGACAAAATCATCAACTTGATGGATCACACACTCTTGTAACATGTTGGTTGGACACATGCATTTGATATTAAATGTTTCCCACACTACTAGCTGTTACTGTACAATACTTCTTACAACTGAGGTCAGACACATTCCATGACTAGTCAGAAACAACTGCAACCTCAATATATTCTCAATTTGGCACATTACATTGTTTTCAACATCATGTCATGCATAGGTGGAAAGCCTCCAGGGCCTATGATGCCAATGTCTGGTCACTGTATGTCCTGTGATACATTCAGTTCATCTCCACACACTGACTGACTGCTGATGGGTGATAGATGTAGCAGATGATACTGCAACATCATATTCTTCCATCCTCAAGGATCTTATCATTGTGGAATACAGGCCATCAATGGACAGAATGGATCCTGACCATGCAGGCAATCCACATGCCTTGGCAGTCCATATGTGCATATGCTAGCACATGGACATCTGTGCTAAGGGCCTCCATAACATTCTTGCAGAGTCATTCAGCTTGCTTGCCACACCAATGATGCCAATGAATGGGCTATCCCTGCATGAAGACACCAGGAGCAAGCTACCTGAGGATGCCATATTGAGCCAGGAGAGGAAGAGACACACCACATTAGCACAAGTGATCTACAGCACAAAGTTGGACTTGTGGATGGTCTGGAGGATTGTGGAGCTGGTGTGAGCACTCAGGATTGAGGTGCAGCATGTGAAGAATGATTGCGATGCTTTGGATGACAATAATTTGGAAGGACCAAGGAAGGCATATGTCGACCATCAAATGAACACAATCTTGGATCTCACAAGTCAACTAATTGTTAGGAGTAGGGCAATTCTCAGGCACTGTTGTATGAAGTTCTACACCAAGGAGCAGGCACAATCATGAAAGGGGAGAGCAGGCAACATGGAATCATGTGTGTGGGCAGTTGTCAATTTATATCATCAGTCATTGGAAGAGTTTGATGAAGTCCTAATAGATTCATTGTCCTGGTAGTTAGTAATGCAAGATGTGATTTTGCCATCTGTGTTTAATACACCTAGCATTTGGAATACTTTACAGTTGAATATCTGAGCGTACCATCATGGTTGGTGAATGTTTGCTACATGGGTGGACCATCTCCTGATGGATACAAGATGTTCTGACTCACTGGTCAGCAACTCTATATTACCACAGGGGTCAGGTGGAATAATGCCCTTGCCTCACCATGACTGCATGTTCTGATATTAATCTGAACTATCAGAACTTGTAGTTGCAGTCAGGTAGGATTTTCCCCATAGCTAAGTCCACTTGTTACATTGAAAGGTGTTTCCTACCAAGCTGACCCCACATGTGAGGGAAATGTAGATAGCTTTCATTTATGTTCATTTTATATCTGTATTTACTGTGTTAATTCAAACATTTTACAGGCAAGAGTTGCTTCTAATGGGTCAATTCAGGTAGCAGATGGATCAAAGAACAGGGCCTATTGAAGGAGGCAATAAACACTGCAGAAAAAGGCCAATTATGTATGGGACAGATGTGGCAAAAACCTCCAGATCCATAGCAGACTCATGTGAGATTCTTGTCAGATCTGCTGCAGCTGTAATGTTAAATAATTGGTCACAATATTTGTGCATTTGTATCTCATTTCACATAGATTCTTGTGTAATTTGTTTGCTTTATAATCCCCAACCACCTACTCAGTACTCCCCACCACCAGCTGCAGCCTGCTATAGTGCACTGATTACTGTTCATACTCCAACCCATTGGCCATAGTGACAAGCAGATCATATAGCAGTTCTGCTGGTGAATCTCAGATGTAGTTACAAGCACTGTATGATGTCTGAGTAATGGTACAGTTCAATTCTCCCCCTCACTGTGTCTGTGAACCTTGTGAGACCCAATACCACAATTGTCACCCATGAGTAGCTTGAAACAAAAATTTCAACCCTAGAAGACCAAACACAAAATGAGTTCCAGTTCCTTTAGAATGAAAACAAGCTTCTCAAAGCCAAAAACTTGCACCTGAAGTTACAATGGAAAGATGCAGATGGGTGTTTGCGATGCATCAAAGTGTAAGTCAGCATTGAATATATTGAAGCAGATGATGGTACAGGTATAGAGAATGAATGACAAGGGTAAGCAGGTAGATAGCAGTGGGCAGTAAACTACCATGAATGTGAGGGGAGAGAAGAATGATCAACAGCATGCAGTTGATGATGCAATTCAGGGTACGTACCTTTTAGTATGTCATGTGGCAAAAAAAACAGAACAGAATGCTTGAACAAAGGATCTAGTAGGTCAAAGCTTCAGAATTCTGCTAGGCATCCAGAAAGTCAATGCATAGCACTTCCCAGACTATCCAATGAATATTGGAGAAGGGAAGGGTAAATGGTGCAAATATCCTGCCATAAGGAAATACTTGATTTCATACCAGTAGAACATTTGAAAACTTTGATTAGCACTCACCCATTTGAAAACACTACTCTGTTCAGTAGACACAAATTGTACTGTTACAGGGAAGAATTAGCCATGTACAGAACCAGAACCAGAGAAATTAATCACTCTCACTGGTTGCTAAAGGTGCCTACACCATGTCTCAAGAAATGAAGATCTGTAAGCCATACTTCAGTATATAAAAACTCCTGCAAGCAGTGTCATTACCTCACTATTGCAAGGAAAACATTTGGTACTCTGGGGCAGATGCTTATTTCAACATTCTCTTATCTCCTTGGGCTGGTACATGAGCAACCATGTGATATTATTAGTATAGCAGGCAAATATGTGAAATGGACGAACATAGCCTTGGAGTTGTATGCAGATAGTGTTCATTGTCATGTCATTGCAAGAAGTGTTGTTGCTGGGTTAAGGGTTTCTATGCACACAAAACTTTGGATTTGGACAAAAAAATGATCCTGAATTCAACAGATCTAGGGTAGAATATTGCTAGGATCTGGTCATCATAAGAGGATTAGTATAAAATCCCAGTGCTGCTGTGATGTAAGTGTTATGTGCAACAAATGTGGTGTGAATGTCTAGATTTGTGCCAGATGTGTCCCAGACATAATCTGCATTTATCTGCAGTGCAACTGCTAGCACTTATAGAAAGGGATGCAAACATTGTTGTATTGATCACTGCATGGACTAGACTATCAAATATACTGATTGCAGCAGAAGAAGCATGAAAATAAGAAGCAGAGAGTGTGTGCAAGAAGACAGAGCAATATGGTCACTGTCATTGACAGTACACACCCATAGAGGCAAGAAAACTGCCAGAAATAGTCCAAGATATGAAGTAGAGTACATGAAAAAGGACAGAACCAAATGGTCACTGTCATTGACAGTACATGCCCATAGAGGCGAGAAAACCAATAGACATAGCCCAAGGAGAAGAAGATGTGAAGTAGAGCATGCAAAAGAGGACAGAGCAAGGTGGTCACTGTCATCAACAGTATGTACCCATAGAGGCAAGAAAACCACCAATGGAAGGTAATTATATGAAAGGAACAAAGAAATTTGCAAAAGGAAAATATATCAACTTGACATCATGTGATGCTCCCATGCCACACCAACAGGAATTACAAACTCATTTCTCAGGCATAAGTTAACAGGTCACATGATGCCAAATGTCAATGTAAATCATGCTCCCACTGCCAGTAGTATTGCTAGTGAACTGAATGGATAGCAGTGTGTGTGTCAATCCTCACAGTGTATCAATAATCTTGAATGCCCCAAATTTTCGGAGTAATGACTCTACCTTGGTCATGATAGGATCAGTGACAAAGATATACCTCATTGCACAAAAATGACACTGATGATCCTTGAAGAATATTAACAAAAACATTTCAAAATTATTGATGACATGAAGGTTAGCTCTCTTGTGATACAATTCTTGAAAGCTTAGTTAAAACTCACTGATCTATGATACTAGTGGAGATACAAGGCTTACAAAATCATGACTCATGCAGACAGTTTTTTGAGCACATATTAAAACTATATAAATCATCATTTATGACACCATAACAATCATGCCACCATTAAATAAATTATAAAGTGGTGTCATTATGTCATTTTAAAACCATATCTAACTATACAAACCAAAAATTTCCATATGTCATGGTTATATTCACTATGAAAGCCACCCCCCCTGCTCAAAGGGATAATATCCTCTCTCTTTCCTATTCTGGCCTCTCTGCTTGTCAAATTTCCTCTAGAACTGGAGTATCCAAGTCCACTGTGGCCAAGTTCATCAAAGAAAGTCACACAGACAAGGAAAACTTCTGTGAAGGGCATCCATCCAAGCTCACCTCTACTGATAGGAGGGCTATTATTCAACATATCACTACAGGAAAGGCTGATAATGCTGTCCAGGTCACCTATTACATCAATTCCACCATCACATTCTCTGTCTCTTCACACACTGTGAGAAACATTCTCAAGACAGCTCATCTCAGGTCAGTAACAAGGAAGAAAAGGCTCTCCTCTCTATCACACATATGCAGAGATGACTAGCACCCTTCTTGTTTCACATATATACCTTGCCATCTGACCCAATCCTATTTATTGTGGTCTTATATGATCATATAACATGCTTCCAGTCCATGTAATCCAATTCTGATGGGCTAAGGCAAAGGTTAGTCATCTCTGCATATGTGTGATAGAGAGGAGAGCCTTTTCTTCCTTGTTACTGACCTGAGATGAGCTGTCTTGAGAATGTTTCTCACAGTGTGTGAAGAGACAGAGAATGTGATGGTGGAATTGATGTAATAGGTGACCTGGACAGCATTATCAGCCTTTCCTGTAGTGATATGTTGAATAATAGCCCTCCTATCAGTAGAGGTGAGCTTGGATGGATGCCCTTCACAGAAGTTTTCCTTGTCTGTGTGACTTTCTTTGATGAACTTGGCCACAGTGGACTTGGATACTCCAGTTCTAGAGGAAATTTGACAAGCAGAGAGGCCAGAATAGGAAAGAGAGAGGATATTATCCCTTTGAGCAGGGGGGGTGGCTTTCATAGTGAATATAACCATGACATATGGAAATTTTT